TTCTTTGAGTTCATAAACGTCAGAGACTGCACATWGKAAAGTTGTCAATATATGTATATATGTTTGGAGAAATCTGAATCAATAGTAGAAAAAAATTAGCTAGTCTTTTGAAATGAAGTTTCTAATTACTCAATTGGACTATTGAGTGTAGAGTAGTGCAGAGTGCTAGATGTCATAATTTGTTATAAATCAACGTACCCTGGCTCCAGTGGGGCAACTCTTCCCAGAAGCTTTACAACTCCACAAGCCGGAGCCTTGACCATCAAGGGTTCCTCCATAGATCGAAACACCAGTGACCCCATCAAACGTAAGCCAGTATCCAGAGCTGCCGAGGACATTGTAGTCTGATGGGGCCACCAGTGTCCCWTCGATGCGTATTGTGATATCAGTGTTCTTGCACTGGCCATTGAAGGCTGCACGACTGACTAAATAACTTCCCGGTGGCACATAGACTGTTGCTGGACTAACTGAGCCACAAGCCCCTGCCCATGCAACGAGGAATGCATGGGTGGAGTCAGTTTTTCCGTCAGGTTTGGCCCCGAAGTCGACCACATTATAGCTTGTAGCTGCGGTTATTGGGTGAAGTAAGACGAAGAGAAGTGATGAGAGAAGGAAACAAACCAAGACCTTCAACATTTTTGAAAGGGAAAGGGGGGGGGGGGGAGGTTGCTTGAATGTTGAGTGGTGATAAGTGGTAAGAGAATGATAGAGAGAGAAAGGTGATGAACTTGATGCATGAGAAGGTGGTGCAGTCTGGGCTGCTATTTATAGAGTTCAATTTCAATAGGAGTTGGGAAATGTTTGATACAAAAAGCAAAGGGGATACTAAGCCACTTGTGAATTGGGCAATGTGGGCCGAAAGGTTTGACAACATAGTAACAATATATAGGGGGCATGTGGGCCTGTACCATTCAGCCCAGCAGTTTTGATTGACATAATAGATCCTTACATGGTGAATGGGTAAGGGGGGCATGTGCCCATTACTTGTTTCACGGATGCACGATAACAGAACTGGTTCAGGAATGAAAAGAAGTTGCTTGTTTCATTCTCTAATCTCTCTACTAAACGAATCGTGATACATTAGAAAAAATTTTGATTTCATGTGAGCAGACAGTGGCTAGTTCTCTCTCTTCCTTCTGTCCTCGGTCAGATCCGGATAAGGTAAGACTCATGAAAAAACATGTCGAACTTTGCCTGATCGATACGATAGTGGATCCCACCATGTCTATATTACAAAAAGAATCACGAGAGTTCATTCCTCCTGAATAATTAATTTTCGGTGATCACAATTCACAAATCACAAGAATAAAAACGAATTTTCTTTTCTTGTTTGAATAGGGAAGATAACATGATATGATGTTGATGAATGCATGTCCCATGTTTTGAGGCGTCCTTGTCGTCGCTGTTGCTTGTGGAGGTGCACCCATGCATGTGACATGCATATCCATGGATGGCCATTTAACATCATCTTACGTAGTTAGTTTGAAGATATGATAGACATATAGGATACATATACATTATAGAGTTTATTTGACAGAGGTCTAGCTTTAATAGGCTAGTAGCCCTCCAGCTACCCCTTTTGTCTTCTTCTTTGAGCTGAGATGGAGCAATTGTAGTTCATCAGCCGTGGCGCAAATGCAGCCATGAATTAATGCCTAAAAGTAATCTACGTTAATAGCGGCCTGCTTCCTTTGCTTGTGTTCCCATGTAAATCAAAACTATCGTCACTTGGGATTCTTGTGTTATACTAAATGAATTAATATTTGATGACAAGTTCTAAACTGAATTCTCATGGATTGTTGTTATGTTAGTCTCTTAGTTGTGATCGTCACTCATGTTGGGCTTTGTACGTATTCTAAGTGTACCTAGCAAATCATGTTATAACTATGGCTCCATTTGGATAAACTTTTGGTTTGAGATTTTTTGGGCTCTAATAAAAAGAGTAAATTATAGGTAAGGTTTAAAAAATCGATGCGATATATTGAAAAATATATTCTGTATTGAGTGTATTGTATCGTATTTTTTGGATCTTTACAAGTGTTTCGGGACCCACTATTTTGTATTGAAAAATATGGGTATTAAATTCTCCGAAAACCAAATTAAAAAAAAAAAAACAAAAAAATATTCCCGCATGGTTAAAAGTACCGATATGTTTAAGGTAGGGATCTTGAACTTGTTAAAAGTACCGATATGTTTAAGGTAGGGATCTTGAACTTTTGAATCATGATTATAGGTAGGTAGTCATNGGGGGGGAGGTTGCTTGAATGTTGAGTGGTGATAAGTGGTAAGAGAATGATAGAGAGAGAAAGGTGATGAACTTATTAATGCACGAGAAGGTGGTGCAGTTTGGGCAATGTGGGCCACAAGGTTGGACAATATAGTAACAATATATAGAGGGCATGTGGGCCTGTTCCATTCAGCCCAGGAGTTTTGATTGACATAATAGATCCTTAGATGGTGAATGGGGGCATGTGGGCCTGTCCCATTCAGCCCAGGAGTTTTGATTGACATAATGGATCCTTAGATGGTGAATGGGTAATGGGGGCATGTGCCCATTACTTGTTTTCGGGTTCGAGTTCTGCACTGGACGAGTGAATCCGCAAATCACTTTCGTCCACGTTGATCAGGAGAAGGAATGCGTAATGTTAACGGTCAAAGTTCCGTTAAGACAGGTTCAGTGGTTCAACCGGACACAAACTTGTCAAAAAAATGACGAAATGGAAATCAAAAGGAATGACAAAACCTTATCCCTTTTGCATTTTCCTGGAGACCGTAGCCTACCCACACACCGGCAATGTGGACGAAAGTGATTCTCTTCCTCCTCTCTCGACCGGAGCACAACTCCTGCAGCAGATCCCAACTCAACTCAATCGAAGATCATCTAACCATTGAATTTAATCTGGATTTTCAATTATTTTCCCACCTTATCGAAACCTCAAATCCGTTTCTTCCTGCCAGAGTTTTCTTTGACGCTATATACTGTTTTAATCCTAAATCACAATCTCATTTCCAGTCTCAAATTTTAATCCGAGGGGGGTTTCTGTACATGTCTTCTTACAAATGAGCATGAATACTCGTGCATCTGGCTCAATTTTCTTTGAAGCGAGAGTATTTTCCGTGTTCTTTGTAATCGTACTATACATATTTATTTGTACTTCTTCCCCATGAATTATTATTGTAATATATTAGGAGATCAATAATATATACTTTGAACTCTACATGTGATCGTCGTCATCACTTCATCACATCTGAAACTCAATAATTTTTCTTTTTTTCTTGAAGCCAACAAAAGACAATTTCATTCCGCAAACAATCAGTACAAGTCACGGTCTTGCAAGACAAAAATTTAGGGCAACAAGACGAAGAAGAAAAGAAACAAATAATTAAGATGGATCAACCGTGCTGAATTAATAATGTATGAGTTGCTTCGTTTGCTAACCCAGGAATATGCATGATTGACTAACACTTGTTGTACTTGGATCAATGAAATGTCTCAAAATTTTCCTGCAGTCCGCAATGAGGTCAAGAGATCCATCCAACAAGTACTGAAAAATGGTGGGGAAACTCGATAATTCGATCTTTATCTTCTCTTTTCTACTTAATTTAAACTGTTCATACTTTCAAAGCTATGCACGCTTTGTACTAATCAATAAGTGCAACTCACTCTGCCTGAAGAATGATTTGATACTATAACAAATCCAATCAAACTAGCTATTATATAATGCATGTAGGTCAGCAGAGATTGACAAAATATCTTGGAAGGAGTACAAACATAAATTTATAGAGTGCAAAACATTGCATTTTGTCTTATTTTGTATGTATTTGTATTTATACTCTTTCCAAACTAAACCTTAGTTACAGAGACCAAACAATTCACCCACTTAATGTAAAGCTGAAACACTCCATCACAAGAAATAAATAAAGCATGTCAGATAATATTAGTATGGGCTGAAACACCAGTTCTCATCAACTAATTTAGGCTTTTTTGCTTTTCGGTAAATGGAGGGGGTGGGGGGAATTGGTTAAGGGAAAAGTTGTTTCCATTGATCAATAATTTCATGTTCACTTTAAAGTTACTATATATGGGTTTTATGGTAAATTATTTTTTCATTGGTATCCCATTTCCCAAGTAGGTAAATAATTTTTTCATTTCAGGGGAAGTTTCCAAAACATTATGGGACAAAATTGCCCTTTCTAAGAATAAAATTTTCTGAATAAAATGACCAATTATTTAACTTACTTGGAAAGCACTTTTGATCAAATTAAAGATCTGGATAAATGTATTTACCTAGGTAAATGATTTACCAAAAACACATGAGGCCTTAAGGTGAATTTGAATATCTGATTATTCTAAACAGATTGAATTGAATAAGAAATTTAAGTGTGTTTCATTCAATAATTGAATTGCATTCAGGTACAGGCTGATACAATCAGTTAGAACTAAGTATGTATGTGCAAATCTTAGGGGCCGTTTGGTAGCACTGAATACACTTCTTAATGCACTGAACAAATTGTGTTTTCACTCAGTATTTTTATTCTATTTCCAGTTTTAGAGCCCGTTTAATAGCAGATAGAGTGGCTGATCTGAATGACATTACTTTCTATGAACTGTAAGCTCCATATTGGTTTTGAGGTTGATGTTAGGTTGATTACAGTACCCTACAAAAATGATTATCTAATTATTTTTATATATTAAACGATAAAGCAATAAGTCATGTCATTCAGTTCAGCCACTCCACTTACTAATTATCAACCAAGATCCACACAAATGAAAGAAAAAAAAAAAAAAGATTAATGCCAAATGGGACTGACTTTGAGGGACAGAGGGTTACAGCACAAGTAGAGCACTTCTCAAACCAATAAACCAACCTGATCAAAAGATCATGACAACCTTTCGATATCATGCATGGGTTTTCATTTTCACATTAATCCATCCAAAATAAACGAAGAAAAATGGGTGCTCAAGATCATTCAAATTGGATTGAACATCGGCCTTTGAATCTTCAAAAGAGTGAAGACAAGTGTTGTATGTATTACATTAACTATTTGGAGAAATCTCCTTACAGTATATATACTGACTCTAAAAAAGATGGACAGGAGTTCGATCGGCAACAAACCAAAACTTTCATATATATATAAATGTGCCATCCCCTAATTGTTCTTGTTCTACAATCATACAACTACTCAACTATTTCTATSTATCTTAAGTCTGTGTGTTTATGAATTTCCCTACAAACAGCCTGCTGGTTYAATTAAGCCTGAAGTTGTTCCATCTGCATTTGTACACAAAGACTCGGCTGCATAATTGTCATAACTCAGATTCACATCTTCTAATACGATCCCAGTGCACGGATTCTTGGGACTACAGTCAAATTTCACGGCAACTTGAGTTGCCGATGTTCCATGGATGTTCTTGTATGTTACTTGACTGATTTTTACGCCTGAAGCCTGTTTAGAGAAACAAACAACATATACGTATGTTGATTACAAGATATTTGATGGGAGAACAGTGGGCCTACAGGCCCATGACTAAGCCCAATAATTTGGGCTTGTAGTAAAAATCATTTGATGTAATTTCTTTTTTTTTTTTTACAGGGCCCAGGAGAGAGCTAGTCTTACCTGATTAGGGCAATCGTCACCATGGGGGCAGTAATATTGGTCAATTATGACTGGATTTTGGACATTCTGCATGGTGGCATCTTGGAAAAGAACCCCTTTTACGAATCCATTACTGGGCCTAGCCCATGACTTAATCCTTAGCCCATTGTCAGTACCGGTAAAAGTAACGGTACTAACTGTCACGTTTTGAACTCCTTCTTCGTTGTCATCTTTGCCGAGACTTCCAATGCTGCAGCATAGCAATACACCCAACAAATAGRCATACATAATTACATACTTCAATTCAATTAAATCTCACTAGTTGTTTGTTTCCAGAAAGAAAATTTGAATGGGGTTTCTGTAGAAATGTAATCTCGATYACCTGATTCCATGTCCAGGTCCACATTCAATCTCCTCTATCCACAGGTTTGTTGTACCGGGACCCACAGAGATGCAGTCATCGCCGGTTTTAATRTTGGAGTTGAGAATGCTGACCACCGTCGATGATTGCACATGAATGCCGTCGGTGTTGGGGCTGCTTCCTGAGGCCACGATCTTCACATCTCGCACGTTGACGTTTTTGGAACCGTCGATTACGATGTGGTACAACTGACTGTCGATCGATGATAGTCCATTGACCACGATGTTCTTCGAATTCATAAAAGTCAATGACTGTTTGGTTCCCGGCCACAGACAGGAAACCATGTCCAAAATTAATATAGAATCAGCTTTTGAAAAAACTCACTCTGGAGTCTGGAAAGAAAATCAAGGGGCATTAGCGTACATGAATGATTCCAAATTTGTTCCGTTTTGGGAAATCGGAATCACTCATAAACACTTGGAATTTTGTTTTCAAGTTTCAAAATGATCGCATTACAGGCATTTCCAAACTGCTTTCAAAAACAGAAAACGAGAAGCGATAAAAAACTTCAGTTCGATCGAAAAAGAAAGAATCAGAAAGCTTCAACTTTGTGGGGCCTGTGAAAAGCACTCCCGGGAAATATGGCAAATTTGTTGACTACCATCCCTCAGGCTGTGTTTGGTTGTAATTTAATTATTACATACGTACCCTGGCTCCGGAGGGGCAACTCTTTCCGGAAGATTTACAGTTCCACAAGGCAGAACCTTGGCCATCAAGTGTACCACCGTTGATTGAAACTCCATTAACGCCTTCAAAGGAAAGCCAGGAGTCGGAGCTAGCAAGAACACTGTAATCCGAAGGGGCCACGAGTGTCCCATCGATTTGTATGGTAATATCATTGTTCTTACAATCTCCAGTGAAGACAGCACGATTGAGTAAGTAACTTCCCGACGGCACAAAGATAGTTGCCGGAGAAGCAGAGCCACAAGCTCCTGTCCATGCGTCCAGGAAGGCATGGGTGGAGTCAGTTTTGCCATCGCCTTTGGCCCCAAAATCGTCAACATTGTAGTTTGCACCCACGGTTGTTGGGGACAAGAAGATAAACACAAGTGAAAAACTAAAAGCAATGAACTTCAACATTTTGTTAGAGAGAAGCTTGGTTGAAATGAGTGGTGAGTGGTGAGTGATGTTTGGATTGAAGGAAGTTAAAGCAGTTGGGGGTATTTATACTTTATAGTATAGGGTTGATTGATGGGGAAATGGGATTGGAAATGGTTTGAATGCAAAGAAAAGGGTTGGCTTCCCTAGTTCACGTGATAAACGGTCCGGTGTATAGCAAACAATGTACGACTTTCTGACTCAATAATCCATTCATTAAATTGGCAATGGTGGGCCTGGGTTACCCCACACATAAAGGGCATGTGGGTTGTCCCACAAAAGCCCACTCTAGATCGCTATAGCCTATAGCCTATAGCCTATAGGGAGGAGTTCGAAAAAAGATTAATCGAATTTTGTTAACGCATATAAGAGAATTTTTTTCACTTAAATTATCCTTTTTTTTATTGAATAACAACTAGTCTACCTGAATTAAATGCATGGACATATTCTCAAATTAATTTTTTTAGTTATTGTAGGCCGCAGGAGATCAGTAAGAACCAAAAGCAACTTGATTGGCTTGGCTCGAATCCATCCCTACGTTTCCATGTTATTAAAATTGAAAGCGGTGGTGGATTTTTCCAGCAGGGCATGGAATCGACAAACAAGTTTCTTTGGTAAAAAAATCGTTTGGAAAGTTAAAATTCAGGAAATCTTTTATATGCTTTTTCTTTTATGCACTAATCACGTTGGCGTTGTTTTTTAAACAATAGTTGGTTCAATGAACTTGTATATTTCTTTATGGGTTTGTTTGGTACACATCTCGTACTACATGGTCTCCTCATCATCTTATTCTATCCGTGGAGTTTCTTAAACCCCTGAGATTTACAATTAGGGATTAAATCAGCGCCCAACAGGCGCCCCCATATGCATGCACATCTCAGCATGCATTGGGAATATCTCCTCGGAGGCGTCAATATGAACTCGTACAATTAGTACAGGAGACATATTGCTGTAATTGATCAAAATTAAGTCCTAGGAAACAAACAAGATAGTCATGGTGAATTTTTTGTCAACAAAAACCTATCCTGTTTTAATTTGTTCTTTTCCATGTTGACAGAAAAAAAAAAAGAAAGAAAAAGGAAAAGAAAAGAAAAGAAAAGAAAAAGCCTCACATGACCAGTCAACCAGCAATTGTTGACTAATGAAGGAATTAAGCTGAAAGTGGAGGGGGGTTCGTGCAGGTGTTCCCTTATATTTTGGCATAACTTGCTCAACCGCATGTATATCACAATCCACTTATCTCATGTTTCAGGTTTGGAATCTATACTGCATCTTCTTGGGTCTTAGAAATTTATTAGACTAAAACTCTGCTTCAATAGATCTCTTTCAATGTATTTTTAGGGCAATTAGTAAGTGGTTTTTTGCACGTGGTAATTTTAGATAATAATAATGAATCAAAAAATTTATATAAATATTTATTTTTATTTTTTGTTTTTATATGCTTTTTGTTTTTTATTATTAATCAAATGTATATTACAAAATCCAAATTTGATAATATAAACACCTCATCTAAATATATGATAATCAGATCGAATTGTAAAGTTTCAAATTCATTGACAAGTCTACCTATTTGGTTAGATTCTTTTTTTTATAATATTTTATCTTTTTGGTATATTTTCTGTTCATTTATCAAAAATGTAAGATTTAAATAGAGGGAATTGAATGAGGTGATCAAAAGTACTACTTCAATTTACAATTTAAACCTCACAATTAAATAGAGACTAAAATAAAAAAAAAAAGAGTATTTTAGTCAAAAGAAAATTTCACAATCTTATTTATATTTTTAATAGTAATGTAAAAATAGAATTATAGATGTGTTCAAATTTTATATATTTTCTTTTTATTTCTGTGTAAAAATAATTCCGATATGTCACACTTACTTTTATTTTAATATGATAATTAATTAATGTTATACATGTGCCTAAATGTTTTTTTTTTGCAGCATTTATGTATTTTTATGTTTTATTTATTTATGACATTAAATGTTAATACATTTGACACAAAAGTTGAACTATTGATCCTTGACAAATAGTAAAATAATTTCATTTTTTGTCAGTTCTAAAGTATGCATTTCATTTCATTTTGATTAATAATATCATAAATGTGGCAAATTTTTCTATATTTTTTATTTTAAAAATTTTATTACCTAACTATGACTTCATAGGTTTATCCATTTGATTCGAATGGTTGAGTTGCTTAGCCATCACTTGGATAAAGAATGTTTTTGTTTTTTAGGCAATTTCAAAATATATGGGTTTATATTGTTAAAAATATTGACATAGATCTAATTAGTAAATTTATTGATAAAAAATAAATTAAGTATGAGATTTAATAACAAAATATGGGATTTAATATTTTTAAGTATAAGGCTTAATGAAAGGGGATTAAATGAGGTGAAAAGTAATAATTGAAGTTATATTTTCAACCCTTATAATTAGAGATGTAATAAATAGACAAATATGGACATTTTAGTAACCATCAAAAATTGACATTAAATCTGTAATAAAATGATTTTCATACCCTTTATCAAATAAAGAAATGGAGGGTAATTTTAGTCCACACTCTACATCCATACTTTTATTTATAGTATAGATCTTTTTCTTTTGTTCATTTACTAGAAAAATGTAAGATTTAAATAGAGAGAATTGAATGAGATGAAAAGTAGTAGTTCAATTTACAATTTAAACCTTACAATTAAATAGGAATTAAATTAAAAAATTAGTATTTTAGTCAACATCTAAAAAATCGGACCAGGCTGGATGGTTGAATGAACCACTATTTTATAAAAAGACGTTGAAATGGTTAGAGAACTGCTGATCTAGACAATTTAACTATTAAAATCTTTGACCCAATTAATGGTTCTTGGTTTAATTTCAAATTAATTCCAAAGTTTTTATTTATTTTATAATAGAAATTAGAAAATAAAAAATGATAAAAGAAACTTTCATATCTCAAAGTCTTGCTCGATTATTTTCAATAGCTAAAATTAGTTAGGGTTTTTAGTTATTTCATTTTGATTTTGAGTTTTCTCATTTATGCGATTCTTTTTAAGTTGTAACAAAAAAAATTGCAACTCTAATGAAGAAATTGAAAATTTGATGCAAAAGACGAGAGATAAAACACCGATCTTATATTAAAATTTGATATACACCAATGAATCAAATGATTTGGGATTTGAGAGAGATTTAGAGAGATGAGAGAGATGTAAGAAGAAAGAAAATGATGTTGTAGCGATAGTTGAACTGCTAGCTCGGAAACCGGAAGCCAAAGCAATTTCGTTTTTGGACCAGTTTTTAAAAATTGATTTGAGTTAAAAGAAAATTTCACAATCTTATTTATATTTTTAATAGAAGTATAAATATTGAATTATAGATGTGTTCAATTTTGTTTTGTATTTGTTTTATACTTATATGTAAAAATAATTAAAATATGTCACACATACATTTTGTTTAATATGATAATTAATTAATATTATACATGTGTCGGAATGTTTTTTTACAACATTTATATATATTTTTTATTTTTTTATTTTTTTATTTTATTAATAAAGGTTGAATTTTTTATTTTTGCCAAATACTTAAAATAATTTTATTTTTGGTTAGTTCTAAAGTATGAAAGTATGCATTTCATTTTCATTATCAATTAAAATAATTATTTTTGTTACACTTATTTTTTTTAATTTGATTAATAAATGTATCATAAATGTGTAATTTTTTATACATTTTTTAATTTTCTATTTTTATTCATATTTAAAAAATTTTATTACCTAACTATGACTCCATAGGTTTATTAATTTGATTCCAATGGTTGAATTGCTTAGCCATCACTTAGATAAAGAATGTTTTTTTTTTAGCCAGTTTGAAAATATATGATTTTATATTGTTAAAAATATTAAAATAGATCTGGTTACTACCATTTATTGGTGAAAAATAATTTAAATATAGGATTTAATAAGAGAAAATGGGAGTTAATACCTTTAAGTATAAGACTTAATGAGAGAGGATTAAATAAGGTGGAAAGTAATATAATCGAATTTACATTCTCAACCCTTACAATTAGAAAATGATTAAATACACAAATATGACCATTATAATAGTCATTAAAACTGATGTTAAAGCTATAATAAAATGAATTTTACCATTTCTCAAATAAAGAAATAAATGACAGTTTTAGTCCAAAAAAAATTTCACACTACATTCACACTTTTATATATAGTATAGATTAATTGAAAAGAAACAAGGCATTATATATAATACAGATCAAGGGTTCTTCACCCACATAAATCATGCTTTTTGGGGAACGACTCCCAAGAATGTGGGCCTCACATAGTCATCAAGTTAATTTCTTCGGTTTATGCTATTGAATACGATTCGATTCTCAATTCATTAGCAAAAGATGAGACCTACAGTATAAAGTCAGTGTTTTTTTCCTCTTTTTCATGGTTCTGGGTTTGGAGAACAGACTTTTGTTGACAATAAAAGATTCTGATCTCAGGGATGCTGCTACCACTGAAGAACAATATTAACGGATGTTAATGTATGTTCCTTATTTTAAGATGTCCATGTTTTGGGTAAAGCCTCGCCGTGATTCTAGGAAGGACACTTCACTTCTACAGTAGTAACAGATGAATTAAGTCTTAGTAATTCTTATGGTCTAGGAGATACTGTTCTATAACATCTCTTAAACACTTGAATCCCCAAAAGCCACTCTCACAAAAAAAAAAAAAGAAGAAGCACAAAAGCTAGCTTTGTTAGGCTAATAGCCGTACGTCCCTACTATTGTCTTTAATTCCTTTCTTGTGGATTTGTTTGAGTCCATTTTCTTGTGGAATTTAATTGTACAAATTCTGATGTGAATTGATGGCAACTTATAGGGAGCAGAAGCTAATAGTCAGATCTGACCTTAATTTTGGTTAACAATTGGAGGGGATTTTGACCCATGCTATGAAATTCAGCCGTAAATGCAGCTGAGTGCAAAGAATAATTAAAAAGAGTAGAAAGTGAGAATTATCTTTGGTCAATTACTTCACATGAACCAACTAACCTACAATAACGGCATTCCTTTGCTTGTGGGTTCAACCTAAATTTTCACATGGGGTGGGGATTCTTAATTACTGCAGTGCCGATTAAGCCTATAAATCAAGTGGGATGCAAAAATCAATCCACTGATCTAGGCCGCCCTAGAGTGCTAAATTCAAACCCCACAATCTAGGCCATGGATGTGGTACTCCAGTCACCAGTCATCAGTGTCAATCTAATGACCCTTCCTTTCTCTGTATTCCAGGTCCAAAATGCAGGCTAAGGAAGCTCCATCTATATGATTGATGAGATATTCAAAGTTCCATAAGGTTGTCGAGCCTCAAACTTTCTCATCAATCATAGAGGCAAAAGGCCTTATATATCCAAACAATTCTATGTTCAGCGTGAACTAAAGATGAGGGTATACATGTCATACTAGATTTAGTAGCTTGGTATAAGCTGTTTGATTTCTGAACCATGCCAATTTCAGCAATACAGCTGGTTTGTGATGAAGGGGTGTTGTTGGAAATGCTGTGAGTCTGACTGGCTGACTGCTCAAGGCCCTGGAGCTTGCTAAATTGGAGAACAGGAGAACTGGGTTAAAGTTCTTGTTTTGTCTGATGCTAAGACCATTAAGAAATTTTTGGGTTCTGGATCACCAGAACTGCCTTGGAATGTTTACAGTTTCTTGGATAATATTCTGAACCTTAAAACTTACTTGAGTCCACAAGTTGGCTCAGTTGGTTAAGTCTTGTAATGTGGATATGGTTAAGTGGGACAGCCCCCCTTCTTGTATAGAACTCTTGGTTTCTTCTTTCTGTTAATAGACTTATTTTGTCTTATCAAAAAAAAAAAGGAAAAAAAAAAAATAAAATGGGACTAAAAGAAATTACTTTAGCAAAGAAAAAGGATGAGGTTTGTTTCATCACTTTTCTTTTTCTATAAATTTTACGTTTTTACTAACCCCGAAATTGTATGGTCCCTAGATAAAGAATATATATAAATCTGGACCATATGGATTTAGATTACTAGGAGGTTAAAACTTTCTAGACTAGAAAGGGCAGAACATGTTATCAAGGATACAGGACAATTTTTTTCAGGAACTGATAAGACTTTGTAAGGTTGACAAGGGGGACTTTGTCATCATGTTTTATTGTTTTTAAAAATTTCCTCCAATGACTTTGACAGAAGAACCAAAAACTAAAATATATAGTAGATTCCTCTCAATTATCACAATAAAAAAAACTAAAAAGAAAACAAAAAAAAAAAAATCCAGATTATAGTAATAAGGAGAGTTGTAAATATTTTCCTTAACCATTAAATAAACATTCTAATTCTCATTTGGTAGTACAAGAATGAAGAACAAATATTTTATCTACTACACTGCTATTTGTAGAAACCTCCTTACAGTTCATCATGTTTATAGGTGAAGCTTAACGAAGATAATACAAGGAAAAGAATAGGAACTGCTACAATTGGACTTAAGGGTCCATGTGCCATCCCCTAATTCATGCCATATACCTATTTATGTATGTGTACGTATACGTATGTATATATACTTGGGGTATTTTTGTATTTTCCCCAATAGTCTATAGACAGCTTGTTGGTTCAACGACACCAGAAGCTTTTCCTCCTGCATTGTTACAAGATGATTTGGCAGCTTGATTTACATAGGTGAGCCTTACATCTTCCATCGTGATCCCTGTACATGGGTTCTTTGGGCTGCAGTTGAATTTCACAGCTACTTGTGTTGTTGATGTTCCTTGGATGTTCTTGTATGTCACCTCACTGATTTTTATGCCTGACACCTGTCATCAATATGGTTGGTAGTGTCATATAAATAATATTGATTTAAAATAAGCATTTAAATAATATAATTTTGAAAACCCATATTATCTTATAATATAGATAATAAAATAATGGACCCGGAAGCCCATTTCTGGGCCCAACTCCTTTTGGAGAGTATTTTTACCAAAAATACCCTTATAACATTGTACCTGATGTGGGCAATTTTCACCATGAGGGCAGTAATTTTGGTCGATTATGATGGGGTTTTGCACATTCTTCATAATGGCGTCTTCAAAAAGGACCCCTCTTACGAATCCATTACTGGGCCTTGCCCATGTTTTAATCCTCAGCCCATTTTCAGTACCAGACAATGTCACAGTTTTGACTGTCACGTTCTGGACGCCTGCTTCTTTGAGCTCCTTGCCAAGGCTTCCAATGCTGCAGCAAGGGAATCCCCACACAAACATCAGAACCCTATATTCCTACATAACGATGAATCATGCATAGTAGTTTAAATACATTGATCTCACCTGATGCCATGCCCTGGTCCACATGCGATGTTTTCTATCCACAAGTCGGTAGTACCAGGGCCAATGGAGATGCAGTCGTCGCCGGTCTTGATGTTAGAGCTCAGGATCGTGACGGTCGATGATGATTCTACATGAATTCCGTCGGTGTTCGGACTGTTCCCTGAGGCTGAGATCTTCACGCCTCGCACAATGACATTCTGGCAAGCGTCTATAACAATGTGGAATAACTGACTATTTATCGATGATAATCCATTGATCATAATGTTCTTCGAGTTTGTAAAGGTCAGAGACTGCACTCACAAGCATAGAAGAGGAAAGAGATGTCAATATGTATGTTTGGGAATTTGGTGTGTTGTGGGCTTCATGCATGGTCCAGAATTTAGAGGTCAGTTAAACATTTTCTTGTTATTCTTATCATGTTTTCTGAGGAAAAGGTTCTGCTAGAATAAGTCCAAATAACTCAAGACTCTTCTACATGGTCATTGATTGGACCATGGTTTTGAAAACCAGATGGACTGGATGGTCGGATCGGTTGACTCAGGAACCGGTCATGGCTTTGAATTCGGTTTTGGACCCCCTAAACCTTTCAAACCATGGATTAGACCCAGAAAGCCTAATTAGCCACCCTCATCCAGATTATATAGTTACTTCTTTAAAGGATTTCTTTAATTAAACAAACTGGGATTCTAAAAGAAAGTAAACAAACTAAAATACAGCGTGAATGGACTAATTTCCTTTTTCATTCCCGTTAAAGATGTGAATGGACTTTAGTAAGGTGCTGGATTCATGGCTGGATCAATGAACTAACGTGTCACACAGGGAGAGCCCTGTTGACAGCCCAGTCAGTCTAACGTGGACAACCAAAGTTTCTCACTCCAAGCAGGATAATTTTAGGTGGGGTCGCTAACTGAGCCCATGAAGCTATCACTTCATTGTTCACCCTTCTTTCAGAAAATACCGAAGAATATTTTCGGGAAAACTTGGAATCAAGCATACACGATAGCAATGAAAACTTATTAGGACAATTAATGCCTGGCATTGATCAAATGACCCCAGATGTAATAGTGGAATTGCAGTACCTTGGGGTTTCAGACTTTCGATCAGTCAGTTGTTAGCTATTATCAACTTACCCTAGCTCCGATCGGGCAACTCTTCCCGGCAGCCTTGCAAGCCCACAGGGCAGATCCTTGCCCATCAAGGGTCCCTCCGTAGATTGAAACACCATTGACGCCCCGGAAGGAAAGCCAGTAACCGGAGCTACCAAGGACACGGTAGTCGGAGGGGGCTACGAGTGTCCCGTCCAAACGTATTGTGATGTCGTTGTTCTTGCATTGGCCGCTGAACACTGCATGATTGAGTAAGTATCTCCCCGGTTGGACATAGATCATGGCGGAACTGACCGAACCGCAAGCCCCAGCCCATGCTTTGAGGAATGCAGGAGTTGAGTCAGTTTTGCCATCGGCTTTGGCTCCAAAGCTGGCTACATTGTAAGTTGCAGCCTCCGATGTTGAGTAGATGAATACGTAGAGAAGTGAGAGAAGAAAAGCAATGGTGGGTTTCGACATTTTGATTGAGAGAGAGGAAGGGGATGAGTCGAACTATGTGAGAGGAGGAGATTATCAGAAAGTCGACCCAAATTAATGATCGATCGCGAAACTTTGGATGATTTCTTAAAGCTGTGTATAGGAGAGAGAGATGGGAGAAAGTTAGAGAGCGTTGGGCTATTTATAAGATTTACCAAGGGGTTGGAGATGGGTACAAGCCAAAGCAAATTGGGTGGATTTCATTCATCTTACGCATAGTAAATAGTTCATCAGTAAGAACATGTGCTCCATTGTGTAGGCCATTTGTTTTCTTCTTAGTGAATGGTGTCCCACAGGATCTAGGATTAATATTATTATGTGGGCTGATATGATAATGGCGTGTGGGATTTATCAGACAACCGAACCCACGCAATATTGCTAAAAGAAGAAATTAGAGGAGATCTCAAACTCTTAATCCTCGAAGCTCATCATCAATAGGTGGTGGCATGTGCCAAGCAGCCTACAAATCGTCTCATCACTTCTCCAGCAAAAGAAATTAAAGGGAGGAGTATTCATGTAATGTTCTATATGTTAGGCAAATGTTCGTTGTTGTTGTTGTTGTTTCACCATAAACCTTACTCCTGGTGGAGGGGCGGCCACCTGCAATTTTATCAACTGATATCAAAGAGAGAATAAATAGAAACAGGGGAATATGTAGCGTAGCCCACTTTGCCCTGACCCGGCAAACAACAAACCATCCCCTTACTATTCCAAGCCCACACATGCAAAAACAGGATAAACCAAACAGCTCGACCATTGCAGAACCTCATTAATTGTAGCCGAAGGGAGATCACATCGATCTTCATAATTAGGACTATTATCTTGAAATTCAACTTGATGATGATGGAATTAGTCAGGTGACCGATACCCAGTTTTTCCGGTCCTGTTTTCAAAACATTGTTTTACTCAATGTTAGTCCTAGCTATCTGGGTGTTGGGAGGGCTGAAATCTTTATATGCGGTCCTAACCTTTGCCATATTTTCATACAAAATGGTTGCTCTCATATTTGAACCCGCATTCCTATGATTGGCATCCCAAGATGTTACTAATATTACACCAAGTAGTAAGTGATGTGGTTTAGCAAACCGGACTTATTAAATGGGGTTCTAGCAAATCTTTTGTTGAATATGTCATGTAACTTGGAAAAATACAAACTTTGAATTTTAACAGTCCGTTTAATAGCAAAATAACATTTAGGCCCCATTTGGTTTGCAGGAATAGGGGTTTGGAATCAGAATTGGAATGGGCTATTCCAGTTCCAATTGTTTGGTTGGGCAGAATCGGAATCCCATTTTCATTCGTGTTGGAATAATATTCCCCCATTTAAAGTAATGACCATTCACTGCCTTTCATTTGAGAATAAAATTTTATTCCTACTAATTTTAATTCCTATTCTCATTCCTATCTGAATCAGATAATGTAAATAGACCATTCTAGTTCTAATTCGGCTGAAAATCAAATGAACCCTTACTTTGAAAATAGAAATTAGAGAAATTTTTTAAGACTTAATTAGAGCGTTTTCTTCACCTGCAATGCACGACATGGGTTGTTGACGGAAGTATGTGACAAGTGAAAAGGATAGTGGAGAAGAATAAACAGTGGCAAGGGACCAAGAACCACTTTCGGCCCATTATTGGCCACTCTAGTTAGAACTGCTTGGAGAAAGAAAGAGAGGGCTTGGAATTTTTTAGTTCAAATAACAAAGAAGATTAAGATAAAAAAAAACAAAGAAACAAAAACCGGATTCGGGGGTTGCACGAATGAGCAGCGGGGAGACATGTCTCTATTAAACATGGGCTGTGATTGGAACATAACTTAATTATTGCTTTTTGGGCTTATTCAATAAAAAGTTATTGCTTTTGGGTGCATGGGATCATCTTGGGTTGGGGGGCCACAGCCCGCAAGCCTCAAGCCATAGGATGGGCAATTGCAGTGTGGACCCATGCCATATAGGTGATGGCTAACCAAATATTAGCATAATTATATCAAATTATTGAGAGAATGAATTTTTGTCATATAGTATATTTATTGCTCTAACCTTTCGAAGAGTCCAACTAAAATATTCATCTACCATCCAAGAATTATTCTTTTGTATCTTTCCAAAATACTCTATCAAGTGCAAGGTACTAACTTGCTTATTGGCAAGGTTTTTAAAACCGGATCAAACGGAATGGTTGGACCGGAAAAACAGGGATTCAGTTTGGTGACTGATTTTGTTTTTTTTTTCAAAATTGGATTTTTGTCAAAAACTGTTGATTTGATCAACAAACCATTGGTCTAGGCAATTGAATTGTTTAGATCGTTTAATGGTTTTGACTGTTTTTTATTTTTTAATTTTTTTTTTTATTTTTATTGTCAAAAAGGGCTAATCGTTCAATTCAAACAATTAGAGCTTTCAACCCGAAAACTGGACCCCTGATCGGTTCATTGTCCAGGCCAATTTTGAAAACCTTGCTTATTGGTAAAGTCTTCAGCTGGTTGTTGCTGAGACTTGAGTATGAATCCCACCTGTGTAGCCTCATGGAGGGAAAAAAATCGACCACCCGAATTGAAAAAATCTATAATGCTATAAAAGACACATGAAATGGGAAAGGCTTTGATCAATTTAAACCCCATGAAATTTTATGAATACCCACCTGTTTGGTTATACCATGATGATACTGATTGATTGGTTATATTTTTTTTTTTTCGGTAGCATATCTTTTTGACATCATAGTCGGACCCATATATAACACATAGTAGGAAACTGCTCCATGAGAAAGAGAGAGAGAGAGAGGTGCAAGGCAAGGCATCGTGGGCATGTGTGATTACAGGACTAAGAATTGCGACCTTTAGCCATTTAGTGTGTCTGAGTAGGGATGTAGAGCCGTTTTAGGCTTCAATATAATATCCTTTTTTATTTGGGTAAACGCTGCCTTTTTTTTTTATTGTTTATACGGAACATGTAGCCATACAGTAATCCCATATGTACACTCTTTTTGGGTAAATTGCTGAAACTTTTCTTGAAGTTTTGGAGCATTGTTAAAATCTCCTCTAAAATTTAGTAACTGCAATCACCTCTCCTGAACTTTATGACACAGTTGCAAATAGACCCTTTCTATTAGAATCCTCTAAAAACATGCAGAAAAATGTCCAAAATGCCCGTGCAATTACTACTGAAATTGGTTTTTACAAAAAAACAATACAAATTTTATGAAAAACAACCAAAGAGAATTTAAAGTTGCTACTTTATACCTTTTTGAGTGATTGATCTGAAGGACAAATATAAAAAATAAATCAATTTCAAAATAGAGTTTAAAAGGGTTTGGGGTACGATTTATATGTTGAGAAAACTTGAAAAAAAAATGGTCAAAGCAATTGCATGGGTATTTTAAACATTTTCATGCCTCCTTTTAAATTATTAATTCTAAGACAGGGTGTCTAGTTGCAATTATGTCTTAAAGTTCATGGGAGGCGGTTGCAATTACCAAGTTTTAGGTGCATTAATATATAATATTTAGGGTAATCTTAATTCAAAATTTAATCTTATTTCTATTTATTCATGAACACAATTTAATCTTTATTATTATTATTATTATTATTATTATTATATGTAATTAGGCTCTAATTTTGTTTTCTATGTTGACCAAAAAGGAAACCCTGGATTTTGAATTAATCGATGTGATAGGTAGAGAGATATAGGATTGATGTTGAGTTGATGAGCAATGCACGTCCCTTGTTTTAAGGTGCCCTTGCTCTGATCCTAGTTATTCTTTGCTTGTGGATATATAAAATTAATGTTTCAAGTTTGATTTGATGAGCAGAAGCCTGTTCACACAGCAATATAAAACTTGTTAATTAAGCACTCTAAAAGATAAAGGCAAAGAAAAAACAGTAAGCAGTAAGTAATATTCATGTATGTAAGATGTCTAACATCTGGACTCAACAAACACCATTCCTAGCTTAATTAGCCTAGCCTAATTAATAGCGTTCCATATACGTGCAAAGTTAGCATTCTTCCTTCCATAATGATCGAACTTGTGAAGGGAGGAGAGGAGTAGAGGTAAATTATTTTGTGGCCAAGCCTTTGAACTCTGAACTCAAATTTGTGGTCATGGTGATCAGCAAGGCAAAAGGAAAGTGTTTGGTCATGGGATGTTGACACCCATACATTGCATGCTGACTGTTTGAAGTCAATTTCTTTCACATGGGAAAAGACCAGGATGCGTACTTGTTCCCTTGTCTTTAATTAATTCAACCACAGTAACGGTTTTCCTCCCTTGATTGCGTTTCAAGCTAAATGGCCACATGGGGTTAGTACTAAGTGTTTTAATCAAATAGAAAAGCAACAGTTTCACAGACTTCTAATAAATCCTGTGGCCGCCTCCCATTCACACACATTGAATTCAAATTCCTAATACTGATCGCTGATCGAACCCGTCTAAGTGGACTGCCAAGCCATTAAAACAGTGATAGAATGTGTTAAGAGCAGAGTGAGAGCAGCCTGTCTTACAGTCTTAGTCAAAGGAAAGACCCAGCCCATGGGCCGAAAGGTTCAGTCCAAGCCTTATCTAAAAGATTCTATTCGTTTTAAGGGATGACAATTAATTTCAATCCCTATATTTGTGTATTGTATGTCTTATGTCCCACGGTACGTTAAGTTATCGGAGAGTGTCAGTTACCGAGGTACCTGCTACCCTCCTGGAAGGTGGGTAATTTATCCACACTCCAATAATGTGCTCTCCCTCCTGCTTCTCTTTTTATCTAGGTAACGTGTATTGTATAAGAAAGTCGGAACCTTATTTATGTGGGTACCCAGATAAACGTATTTATCCAGGTACGTGAAAATGAATGGGGCCTAACATATTTTTCAAAATCAGACCCATCAACCCTGACTTGGTTTGGAAATAGCCAAAGAAAGACACCGTAAAGGATATAAAACTTTGCGCAGCAGTAGGCAAGGTTAAAAGTATTGATACGTATCGGCCTATATTGGCCAATACCTATCATGTTGATAGCTTACCGATATGCCCCTCCAGTAGTTGTATCGGGTCAGCCATCGGTTCAGATGCTA